TAGCACCTCACACATTACCTGGCATAAAAGCTTAATAGCCATTTTATTATCCAGGCACTATAAACAAGTAAAAACCAAATGGCATGGCAGAAAAGAGATAACCTCTTACTTTCCTAAATTAATTATCTGCTATGGAAAAAAAAAGTCTGGTATAATAACAATACTTGGTCTCAGTGAAGATGAGGGCAAGATTCAGGGTGGTATCCTGCCAACAACAGTGGACCTGGATCAGTTCTCTGAGCCTTGGTTCCCCCATCTAGACAATGAGCATAATATTACTTTTAGTATCTACCTCATAGGTCTGTCCATAGTAAGACTCAAACGAGAATGTTAAAAAGCACTTCATAAATGTGGACAAATAATTTTTCTTTCATTCTCCTCTGAAGGTTGTTTACTGGAAGCAAAAGGGAAAGTACTGGAATTTTATTACTTATACAAAAGGTAACAGGGCTGAAAGGACTAAGGAGTTAAAGGACTAAAGTACTTCTGGATATTCGTAAGTAATCTGTGCCACCAAACACTAAGCATATTCTTCTCATGTTAAAACTTTTAATGTGGACCAGTAGTCATGTTTACCTCTGGATGACCAAAAATCAGAACATTGCAAAATCAAAAGATGCAGGAGTGTGCTCATTTACACAAACCATGCAAGCTCTCATTTCCATGAAGAGTAAAAGAACCACATCACAGAGCCGTTTGGGGCTCCACTGTTGGCATCCACAGCAGCAGAGAGAGAGGTTGGCACTTTCAGAAGCTTCAGCACCTGGTAACAGAAGTTACCCTATGACATTAAAACTTTTCAGTTTAAGGCAGTATTTAAGTAAAAATATCTTTGCGTGATCTATAAAGAACTCTCCCCAAATGCTTGGAGCCCACAAGGCCCAGATTGAACAATACTCATAAAAGTTTTCGCATTACTGAGCTGTACTTGGGTATCTTCCCTAGGAAAGAGGCATGATAAGCATTTCTGAAAGTCACTTCTACCAAGATTAACAATGCTTGCCTTGCTCACCACTTTCCTCTACAGAACAGGCAGCTAGAGATAATCTAACAACACACAAACAAACCAAAAATGGTTCCTTTAAACTTATTTAATGATATTTGAATGCTCATTTTCTATTTTCCCAGATCCCAGAAAACAAAGTTCCTTTTAGATGACCAATATTTTGTTCCAGAAACATACAACCTTATCATCTAATTCATAAAAGAGCTATTTTACAAACATACATCTGGATAATTAGAACAATAAAGTCTTTCAGACATTTCAAAACATGATCAGTAAAAATACAGGATTATTAATAAAGTTTTCTTTAAAGAATACTTCCAGATTTTTTAAAGTAATCTCTGTTAAGAGTACATGATTGTATGGTGTACAAGGAAAATAAGATGTTCTAGTATGAAGAGATTCAAAGATTTATTAAAAATAATAACCAACCGTTTGCACATTACAGTGACCATTTTTGCAGTACACCTCCTTGTCAGTTTGCACCTGGAAATAGAGGGTATTTGTTTCCTTTTATTTATTTATTGGGGGGTGGAGTGGGGTTTGAAAGCACACTCCTTCAGCAAATTCATTAACAAAACCACCAACACCAGTGGAGAGAGACAGGTTATTGAAGTAAGGAAATGACAAACTCTTTGGAGAAAGGAAAATACTTGGGGGGTAGGAGGTGTGCATTTTGGAAGGTATTAGAGGTGGGAATTAGAGAACATTTTACAAAAATGTAACAATGCTGAAGGTGGGAAGCATAAGCAAAAACTCAAATGAATTTCTGTATTAATTCGTCTTCTTAAATTTTGCCTAGTTTTCAACAATGGGTTATGAGTCCAATAGTCCAAATTAACACTGCATTTTAGGATATAGAGATAGATCCCAGTTTGAAATCTGTATATATCAGCGCCCTTTCAGTCCACATACAACCTGTTGAAGCTACAATCACCAAACAGCAAAAGAAGTAAGCAATGGGAAGCAGCAGGGTATTGGGCTGCTGCTCTCACACAGAAATTTTTAAAGTGATACCTGTTTTCTTCTGTACTAGCTTATAAACAAAGCATTAAAAAACACACACAGGGAACAAAAACAGGCACTAGCTCTATCAGAGAAACAAAGAATGTCTGAAAAAAAGATCCCATGTAGAATTCTACAATGAATGTGATCCTTAACTCTTAACAGCCAAGATTCAGATGGGAAATCTGGAAGTTAATGTCAACTCAAATTGGTCCTGATTTTAGAGTACACAGAGCATATGGTTTCTAGGGCAGGGAACTCCATTTCAAATCATGGTGCTTTCGGACTGTCAATATAACTTGACTGTTTTCTGAAAGGGAATGAGATGTTCTAATGTATTTCACCACTTAACAGTCCAGAAGGCCATTAAAACAACAGGACAGAACACACTTCAGTAAGCCCATTCAGCATCCCCCAAGACAGCTCGTTGGTTTTCCATAGATCTCTTTTTCTCGAGTCTTTTTGAGAAAACAGGATCCCATCTTCTCTTTATCACTCCCTAGGAAAAGGGTTTTCTAGTGACCAGTTTTGCTTAAGGAGTGTGATTGTTAAAAGTAACAGAAGGGAAACTTTCTCCCTCTTACCTGGCAGCTCTAAGATGCAAAGGGCACTTGCAGCTTTGGGATCTTTTCTGGATTATGCTTTGGAAAGATGAAATAACTTATTTCGTAGCGCCTGAACTACATTTGATGTGCGTCCCCCCCACCCCTGCGCAGCTACACTTTGTATCTCCATTGTGCAGAGTAATAAGCTGAAGGAGGGACAGAATAACTAACTTGCTCAAGACCATTGAGTGAAGTAACTAGGATAGAATTTAAAACATTGCACTTTTCCTACCTCCTGAAGGAGTTAATGTACTGTCAAGTGGTTACACTGTAGGTGTTTGCAGCAAACTTATAGTTGTGTCATACTGCTCTTGTCCCAAATTAAACTGCCTTGGTGGACACTTCTCAAATACCCACTTAACAGCATCTCCTTTTATGCAGACAGGCTGGTGCTAGTGCATGGCTGGATACACATGTACAGATAACCCTTGGGGTTGGCAGTGATCACAGCATTCTTGCCAGCAGCACCTAATGGAGCCATTTCATTTCTGTAGGCTCTTCCTGGTAGGTGAGGGAAAGCTCCAGGCTGGCGTTCTGTGTGTACTAGGGTTCTGCTTTTAAAGCTCCTTACCCCATTCTAGTTTAAATTATATTTTGTTTATAATCTGAGATGCAGTTCCAGTCTACAGGCATGTTCCCAAGTCAGTGATTGTGGCCATGTCCAAAAAGCAAAGCTTAGGTGACAAAACACAGGCAGGGAACTTGATGTAGTCAGATGAGCTGGTGATGTTGAAAAGCAGCTGGGAATTCCTGCTATTTATGATGAGATAAATCTGATTTCTTTGTGACAGCTAAGAAGGGAGTAAAAATCACACACTGACCATTCACAGAAAAGTGGAAGACACTATTGGAAGATGTGATGAAATGAATGCTTTGTATAGGAACAGGATTTTGCAGATTTGGCACATGTTTTTAATTGGCAAAAACAAAACAAAACAAAACCTCCAAAGCCTGTTTACCTGATACACAAAGAATATTGTTCAAAGACTGTGACTGAAGATATTTTCAAGTGACAGTTTTGAAACCACTATCCTCTGTAGGATACTGCCAATGCTGCTACTAACCCTAGTGCAGGCCTGGAGAGTTCAGTGTATGTTCTGGTATTGATCTGCAGGTTTCAATTTGCAAGGTCAGTCTTGCTCCCAGGATGGAAAGGGCTACAGCAATAAAGCCAAAGCAAGTGCTTACAGAGCTGGTTTGGGCAATCCTGTCTTCTCCACTGCCTTTCTTTCCATTCCAGCCTTGACTCTCTTTGCAGTACAAGTAGAGAGCATTTTGGCACAATCAGTGCAAAAATCAGAGTCAAACCTCCAGGTACTAAAAACTTACTGGCCCTATAATCAGCAGTACCCGTGGCTAATGAAGCCATGGTTCAGCTCAGTAGTGATTTAGTTTGACACATATCCTTTCCAACCTCTCCACCCTTTTTCTCCATCCCATCCCCGCCCCCCTCTTCCCTAACCCCACTATGTCCCCTCTCTCTGAAGCATTTCCACTTTCATTTTTCTGCTCAAGTTGCAGGGACAATTCATACAAGTGCCAAAGCCCTATGTATAACTGTAAAAATTAAACAATATCTAGATTATTTTACAGTCAAGAAAATAAAACTTGGCTTCTCTTTTCCCTCTCAGAACCCATGATTTGATGGAAGAGAAGAAGAGTGAGTTGGAAGGGGGAGTAGGAGGGGGGCAGGGAAGGGAATAAATCAATTTTCAAGTGCCTGGTTATTTAGTGCATTAAGAATTTTTGTGACATAGGAGGTGACCTTAGCTACAGAAGATGGATGCTTGCCCCACAGGTAAGAAGCTCATCTTCTATCTGACCCCTCTTAAATATAGTCATTCTGTACATGAAAACCATAGGGAAGTAGCAGTCTAGGGGCTAGCAGGGAGTGCTAAAATTCAGTCCAGTGAAACCAAAACACCCTAGTTCCCTCTTGCTCTCCCCAAACCACCCCAACCCCCAGGCCTGAACTGTGATTTCAGGAGCAGCTGATCCTTGGGTGTACTAAATAAAAAGGGCTAAAACTCTTGCCACACAATTAAAACAAAACCATAAAAACAAAATTAAAATTAAAATGTGCTTTCAAAATGTGGAATGAAGTCAAATAAATACATCTGATTCTTTTTTCTTTTTTTTTAAATGCCTAAATACATTTTTTTATATCCTACACCCAAAGCTCTGTACATTTGGTTTTTGTTCTGAAATCGAAATGAATTTCCGATAGTGAGGGGAAGAAGATGAGAGAATAGACACTCCCTCACTGACAGACAAGTGCAGCTGCCATACTGGGAAAAAATGATTCCCACTTTGAGCATACTGGGACATGGCTAGCATTCAGATGGTCCACAGGAAGATCCTCTGTCACACACTCTCTCCCAGTCCGCTTTGGAGCCAGGATGTGGTGGTGCAAGGCCGAGGCTCAGAATCCAACCTTCAGCCACCAATAACAACTGTGGCTTTAACTTTTATCTGGGGAAAAAGCAAGACACAAGGAGATCAGAGTGAGTCAGGGGAAATGGTTCCCAGGACTTTAATAATGCACTTTTATATTTCTATACACACACATACATGCATGTACACACACACACACACACACACACACACACACACACACACAACACGTATGGCTCTCTATCAGAAAGTACAGGTGTACTCTGGTGTCATTGTGCAAGAAAGTCAATAGGGCATAACTAAATCCTACCATAATGTCATGAAGCTTGCTATAACTGTGGCCTGCGGGCTGCTTGCGGCTCGCCAAAGGATTTTGGGCGGCCTGCGAAAAATGTAGAAGAAAACTCTAAAACTACATTTTTCACTGCCGCCCAAAAGCCTTTGGCATGCCAGCAGGCCACAAGCAGCCCATGGGCAAAAGGTTGTGCAGGCCTGTGCTAGAGGAATGATGTTACAAATGGACAAAATAATTGTCTTGGTAATGTGTTTTTGCTGAACCAATTAACCTTAGAGAGATATGCTAAACAACACATTATAACATCTACATTGGGTAAAGATACATGCAAAGGCATAGGGAAACCCTTTTGTAAACTCCTTGTTCACATAAAGAACACAGAACTGCTACAAAAGCCAAGGGAGACCCATTTTCTCTATCATTAGGAAATAAGAGAAGCTTTAGTAAATCTTTCGCTACTGTAATCATGACTTTCTAATCTGCTTTTTTTCTAATTCCTGGCTCTTGAAAAAGGTGAGAAGGAGAGATGTAATGACATTAGAGTTGCTAACTGAAGAAAATATATGATCGCATAAAAGCATGATGATTTTCACCTACCTGAGTGCTCCTCTGTGAGGGCTGATCCAGCCAGCCTTTGGCAAAGAGTCATGTAACTTTCTTCCACCTTCTGTAAAACACAACCCATATGATTTTCATCGATTTCTAGGGTGAGGGGAGGGAAGACTAAGGGGAAATAAAGCTTGTTATGCAATAACAGTGCAAAATTGTTTTAGTATTTACTTATTTCACTTATATGCCTTCAAATAAGAACATTACCTTGCTTAGAAATTTTGCCTATGAAAAAGAACAACTTTCATTTTTCTTACAATCTTATGCTATGAATAATTTAGAAGTGATACATAAGAAAGATGGGTTAATTAGACTGCAAGAGCAAGGGATGGCAGGTGGACAGCCAGAGTATTCCTGGTACCCCTACAAAGTCAGGAAAAAGTCCTATAGCACACTGGGCTGACCCCCTGTGCCAAAATTTTGATAGAATATGGATAGAAATTAAATAGGAATGGCAGGCATGCATGTGTAATCATGTGCATTATTGTTAGAGGGTACTCTTAAATCAATGAAATTACAGATCCATTTGGGTACGCAAAAAAGGAAAAACAAACATATAAGATCCCCAAAAAGGTTTTTGTTAAGCTGCCTTATTAACTGTTTTATGTTGTATAACATGAGGTTCATCAAAATTAGTCTCCTTACAAATGAATTTCAGACATTTCATCAACTACAGGGCAACACTATATAACACTGTATAAAAATCAAGAAAATATATCCAAATGAAGTCAAAATATGAAAGTGAGAAAAGTTAGACTGCCAAAATGCTAGAACATTCCTACCTTCCCCTTTTCCTTCCATAGCTATTTATTCTAGCAAAAGTACAACATACCTATAATACATCTAGGCTCTTTAACATCTCTCTCTACCACAGACCAAGGTGGCAGATACTAAAATGTAATTCAATTCCTCAAAAAACAAGGGTTTTCAAACCATTATTAATCCTGTAATACACAGAACTTCCGAAAACATAAGTCAAAGTTGGCACAATCTCTTACCTTGTAGAAACCATACAAAAAAGGACAATGAGAAAATGTATGGCATAAGGAGGTCGATTAGCAAAAGGGCAGTCTATTTATTCACCCCATACTCTGCCCCTTTACTACTTGGAATGAGTGTCTCAACTTTTGATGAAACTGGCCTTTAAAAATCTAAGAGGACCTAGGGAACTTCTGTTTACTTTCCAAAATTCTCCTTCAATGCTGGGACTGTCAAAGGAAAAGGTTTTAGGCTCAGTCTAAAAGCCACTAAAGCTTTTCTTCATCCATCATAAGACTCAGAAAGCTACTATCGCCACCACAATGTGTTACAAAACAAATAATAGGCAATAGCAAGTTATGGCTTTTCCAGGCCTAGATTTATAATAATATAGATATCACCTGTCTTAGCACATTACTCAAATCTTCTCACATATCAGCCAAGAAAATCACATAGATTCAGAACCTTTAACCTGGAAATATAACAAGAAAACAGACACAGAAGAATGTTTCCCATTCTTCTGATTTAACAACCTGAGAATCCCAGCCGCCTGTCCTCTCCATGGACAAGGAGAGCACACATATTCAGATTCTACCAGGTTTACTGACATCAGTATTTCATTCTTTCTTTGCTTCCATTCTGCAGCATTTGCCACTTGGAAGTAAGCATTAGGGATGCTGAAACAGGCTTTAAAAAAGCAGCAGTGGATACCTTTAAGTGTTCAAGGTCAGCCTCTATCTTCCGAATGTACTGCATGATTTGGCTGTGTGAGTCTGCAGTGGAAGAGGGACTCTGGGCACTGAAGCCAGACTCCTCCCCAGTTCCCCAGCGCTGCTGGACTAGGAATTCAGGGGTCAATGAAGAACCCCCTCCATCAGACCGGGGATGGTGGAGAGGCTGCTGCTGGTGAGCCCAACCCACAGAAGGGAGGCCTGAACCAACTTCCTCCTCCGTAGAGCTCTCCTGCACTGTTTCAAAGCCATCGAGGATCACAATGTTTCCTGTTGATGGAGCAAGAGAACAAGTTACCACTACTATCAACAGCTGCCAAGTCACAGAGCTGATACTGGGCAAGTTCATAAACATCCAAATACACATATTTAATCATGCTGGGGCTAGTGCTATTTAACAATTTCAGGTACTAATTGTATCTGAATTTTAAAATACTACACATTGCCACACAAGTTAAGAAAATAATTCAATATTTTTTATCCAGCCTTTTTGATACATGTATACCAGGATATCGTCTACTCCAGATGAAGGAACAATATATTGTCATCAGAACTGGTTCACAATGAACTTGCCTGAGATCCGTGACTGAAGAGCATCCTCTTCCTTTCTTTCTGTCCCATCACTTTCTGAAGGATTATCATCACTATGGGCTTCACGGGCATCAAAAAAGTGCTCTCCGCTGTCATCAGGACCCCCTTCTAGCTCTGCGCTAGACGGCTCTGGGGTCATGATCATGTGGTCCATGACTAAAACATTACTTGCCCTGCTATCTTGAGATGCCAGTTCCATATAATCCTGTGGAACTGGGGATTCAATTGAAGTCCTTGGGCTGTAATATGCAGCAATTTCACCAGTTACGGTTTGGAGGGGCATCTGTCCTTCACCAGGTTGTCTGGTCTTACTATTTTCAGAGTGGTCTAGGACATTTTGGATCACACCTGGACTTTCTACCTGTACCCCCTGAGAGGCTGTCCTAAACCTTAGGAAATGCTGCCAGTCTTCATGAGTCCTCTTCTCAGTCAAACCTAGCTGCTGTACCAGCAACTGCTTCAACAGACCCACTAAAAGAAAAAATAAAAAAAAGGATATTCACCAGTTTCTACGAGGATTCAGTTAAGTGGCCAAGCCATTTCTAAATGTAAATCAATCAATAAGCATTTATTAACATCTAATAAACAAATGAGTTTCTAATAACACAAATACCAAACACTAAAGTAATTTTGTATATGCTTTGGTATTTAAAACACTGGAATAAATTGCCAAGTGCACCTATGGTTGCACTTAGAGCCAGCAGATACCATCTAGTTGCATTACGGCACCTTCATGAACTTTCTACATGACCTGGGCACGTTACCTAGATACTAGTGACTTAATTTCCTCTACTTTCTAGGTATACTGAGAAAATCAGGTTAAAAAAAAAGCATGAATTTTTTTGAGCTACTCAGAAACAGATGCTATGTAAATACAAGGAGTCATATTTTTTAGTAATTCTCTTAGAGTTCCTTAAGCACAGGTCTTACCATGTTGCTGCTCTGCTCGATAAGCTCCAGTGACTCTCAATTTCTTCTAAGATCAAAGGAAAACTCTCCTGTGGTTTGGAGCCCTTTGTAACCTGGTTCCTCCTTATCTTTCCAAACCTATTAATTAATCCCCTTCATGAATTCTGACGTAGCCAAACTGATTTTCTTGCTATTCTTCACACATGACATTCCATCTTCCATTTCTGTTCCTTTCGACAGACTAATCCTCCCTGCCTGGAATGCAGGGCACTCCTCCCTTACCTCTGCTATTTTCCTTCAAAGTTCAGTTTAGAGGCCTCTTTCTCTCAGTCTTTTCCCAACACCCCTGCCATCACTGCCTTCCCTCCCCTCCCCATTAAATCATATTTATTTTGCATCGACTTCTCTGTATCCATGTTTTCTCCCCTACAGAAAGTAAGCTCCTTGACAATGAGAATATCCCATTTATATCTTAGTATTTTCAATGCCTGGAAAAATCTCTAGCACATAGCAAGCAATTAATAAATGGTTGTTGGCTGAACAGTAGAGGATGTTAAAGCAGAAAATTCAAAATGCTAAGCACTCAATAACAGAGCTGTAACAACTCAAGCAAATAATTTTAGTTAGAATCAAATTTTTCCTATTAACTATAGTAAGCATATTACAAAGATTTTACTTGATGATTGCTTTTCTTTCATCACATCTGGGTCCACAATTGTAAGAAAGTTGGCAATACAATATAGAGTCAGGTTTAATGCTTTTTAAAATTTTGACTTAAAACTTAACACCTCCCTAGGTTACTTGGATACCTCAGGAGTGGATAAGTATATGTGCATATAAGTCACTCTCACAATGATTACCTAGCTCTACAACACCTTCCCTGTACCATCCAATCAACCAATATGCATTTACTAAGTACCAGCAATGCTCCAGACACTGTCCTCAGTCAGTAAGAGGGATACAAAGACGAAAATGAAACACTCCTTATTTTTGAGGAGCTGACCTTCCATTGGATGAGACCAAAAGAGACACAGAGTAAAGTGTTAAGGCAAAGATGAAGTAAAAAGCAGAGTGCATTCTCAGCATATGAGAGACAGGTAATGAAAGGTGCAGAGATGGGAGCTGGCACATCACACAGGAGAAACGTAAGAAGATCAATCTGTGTGTAGAAGACAGTCATGCATAATACAGACTGGAAAGGGAGGATGGACCAAATTGCAAAGGGCTTTAGAAGCTAAATAGAGGAGCTTATATTTCACCTTGGAGGCAAAAGAGATCCCTTGGAGTATAGTAAAAATAATTTTGGCAGGAAGGCAGTCTAGAGAAGAAAAAGACTTGAAGCTTGAAGACCACTGTAAGAGTCCAGGCAAAAATGTTAGAAAAGCCTAAACTAGAGTGGTAATAAAGAGAAGGGAACAGATGTGAGAGATGTCAAGGAGGTGGGATCAATAAGGATTTAACAACTGATATCAAGCAAGGGAGAATGAGGAGTCAATGACAATACTGAAACTGAGAATCTAGATGTTGTTGCCTTCAGTAGAAAGAGAGAAGTCCAGAAGGGAGATGGTCTTTTGGGGGAAAGAGAATTAGTTCAATTTTAGTTCAATTTCAATGCTAAGTTTGAGATGTCTATAATATATCCAGTTTGAAATATCCAAGAGGCAGATGGAAATGAACAGCTGTAGCTCAGGAAAAAGATGAGGGCTGAATAGATGTGGGAGTCATCTGCATCAAGATGATAATTATATCCTTGGAAGCTAATGAATGAGAGGACACAGTCTTGGGATACACCCACAGTTAGGAGTTATGATATCCAAGATGGATCAGAAAAGGAGACTGAGGAGATAAACAGGAGAAGAACCGAGAGAGAGAAGTGTCACAAAAATCCAGAGAGCAGAGAGTATCCAGAAGTGTGGTCAAATGTCAAATGCTCCAGAGAGGTCAAAAAGAATAAGAATTAAGAAAAAGCTATGAGCTTTGGCAATTAAGAGATCACCAGAAATTTTAGAGAGAGAAGTTTCGGTTGAGGGTTGAGGTTGAAAGCCACACTGCAAAAGGTGGAAAAGCATGAGAGAAGAGAGAACGCAGAGGCAACAGCTGTAAATAGCTTTTCTAGGAGTTTGGCTATGAAAGGGAGGCAAGATACAGACTGATAAGATGAAGAGACGCTAGGTACCAGGAAAGGAACTACTTGAGAGGGACAAATTGAAGGAGGAAGAGGTGGGGAAGGGGAAGGAGGGAGGGAATGAGGGAGGAGGAGAGAAAGACAGACAATATGAATTTGATGAAAAAGACCAAAGGGAAGGGATCAAGGTCACTTGTAGAGAGGTTAGCTTTGGCTGGGAAAAAAGGGCCACCTAATTATCACAGAATAAAGAAGGAGAGAGTGGGCCACGATATCAGAGGGTTGTACAATATAGCAGAGAGAAAAGGTCTCATGACAAATGGTCTCCATCAGCCAAGTCTGAGGCAAGGTTCTCAGCTGAGAGGGTTGACAAAGGGGTGCTGTGGGAGGCTTGAGTAGAGAAGTTTTGAACAGCCTCTGTGCGAAGGACAGAGACTCAACTAAGGAGAAGGAAAGCAATTATCTTGATTAGGTGAGAGACCAATTAAAATTAGATAGCATAAATCTCTAGTGGACATAGTCTGCTTAGGTGCCTGATTTCCTCAAATCCATTCAGAAGTATGTTAGCAGCAGCAGACAAGGCAAATGATGGGAGTAATCTGAGATCTGGATTTGGCAAGGCAAGAATATTTTTACATGCAAAAATATATTAAAAAGACTCCAAGCAAAACTGTCTTAATACCAGTAGTGAAAATATTTGATTCTAACATTGAAATGAACTTTCGAAAAAAACACTGATCATCACTTCATGCTAATCTGCAATGTGCAAAGAACACTTGAAATAAAGGACACCAAAGAAAATTTCTCATGAAATACACCCAAACTCAATTATTATTCTGCTCTTAAAAAATAACCTAAGGAATTTGCCTTGGGTGTTAAGAAAAAAAATGAAAATGCTCCACAATTTTCTTTGGTTCCAATAATTTAGTCATGTAGTAGAATTAACCAAAGGACAATATTTTTCTGTTTTTTTTTTTTAAGACTGATTCTGGACATGTTATACAAGAGTTTATTTTGCTTGACTGGACATTTTTCTAAAAAATTTCCACGTTAGATATGTTGTAAAAGAAAAACACACATACATATGTAAGGAAAATAAAGAAAGTATAAAAAAGCTTCCATCTGCACTCAGAGTCCATTAATTCTCTCTCTCTCTGGAGGTAGACAGCATTTTGCATCATGAGTCCTTTGGGATTATCTTGGATCACTGTATTATTGCTGAGAAAAGCTAAGTCATTCACTGCTGATCCTCATACAATATTGCTGTCACTATGCAAAATGTTCTCCTTGTTCTGCTTACTTCACTTTGCATGAATTCACGTAAATCTTCCCAGGTTTTTCTAAAATTATCCTGCTCATCATTTCTTATAGCACAATAGTATTCCATTACAATCATAATCCTCAACTTGTTCAGCCACTCCTCAATGGATGGGCATCCCTTCAATTTCCAATTCTTTGCCACCACAAAAAGAGCTGCTATAAATGTTTTTGTACATGTAGGCCCTTTTCCCTTTGTTATGATCTCTTTGACAGACCTAATAATGGTATTGCTGAATCAAAGGGTAGGCACAGTTTTATAGTGTTTTGGGCATAGTTCCTGTTCTCCAGAATGGTTGGACCAGTTCATAGCTCCACCACCAGTGCATTAGTATCCCAATTTTTCCACATCTCCTCCAGAATTTGCCATTTTCCTTTTCTGACACCTTAGCTAATCTGATAGGTGTGAGGTGGTACCCCAGAATTTGTTTCAATTTCATTTCTCTTAAATGATTTAGAAAATTTTCTCATATAACTATTGATAGCTTTGATTTCTTCTCCTGAAAATTGCCTGTTCATATCCTTTGGCCATTTATCAATTAGGGAATGGTTCGCATTTTTATAAATTTGGCCAAGTTCCTTATATATTTGAAAAATGCAGCCAAAGGATAAGTAAGTTTTGATGAGTTCTGGTAAAACTACATTGTCAATGACAAAGGATATTTTCCTTAGTTTATTTTAAATAAAAAAAAATTGAGAGTAAATTCTGAGCTGCAAAGTATATCTTGCTGTAACCTTTACAATGAGGAAGTTACCAGGAGTGTGTAAAAATACCCAGAAATTAGATAAATGGGAGAGGCTCAAAATAGATTTAATAGATTCTGCAAGGCTCCTGAGTTTTGAGTTTATCTTCTGTGCCCCTTCCAGGCACTAATTCTCACCACCACCAAGATCCACTCTCAGTACCCTGTTCTACTCTTCATACTCTCCTTCAGAGCTTCCAGTCACCCCAACAACTTCAACTGTTACTTCTACATGGATGATTCCCAAGTTTAAATCTCCTGACCTATTTTCTTCCACATACTCCAGTCCCACATCTCCAAATTCTTGGCAGACAGACATTTTCACACAGATGTGCTGCCACAATCGGAAGCTCAACATGTATAAGATACAACTCCAGTTTCCCTCTTCCCTTTGTTGATGCTATTAACCTCACTATCATTCTTTCTATCATTCAAAGGTAAAACACTGATGTCATCTTTGACTCCTCCCTTCCTCCCCTCTAGCTACCAAGTTCTGTGGATTCCTCCCTTATATAGTACTGCTAAAATCTTCATTTCCATCACTGCTACCATCCAAGTTCAAGCCCTTCTAATGGTTAGCTTACTGCAATATCTTACTTACTAGGATCTCCACCTGTGGTCTTTACTTGCTCAAATCCATCTTGCACATTGTCACCAGCTTAACTTTCCTGAAATGCCACTGTCGTAATATCATTTCCCTCCCCAAACACCTTTTGTTGCTCCTCTCTATCTATAGGTCTAGCATGATCTGGCCTCAACCTAATTATTCTAATTTTATCAACTGCACTCATTTGCATGAATTCTCTACTTTAGTCAGACTAGTCTAGTCCGTTATCTCCCAATCAAGACTCGTGTTTCTGCCTTCATGCCTATCCATTTTTCAAGCCATTGAACAAATTCTAACTACTCAGTGATAACCTACTTGGTCACCTCAGCCCATGGCAATCTCTAAACTTTTTAGTTGTTAATGTCTCCACCATTTATTACATATTTGAAACATACTGTTGCTTACTGTCAAGTTTTGCTTTTAAGTCATAACTAATATAAGACTAAAGGATTTAGCATTAGAAGAGACTTTAGAGATCATCTAGCCCAACACCTTGATTTTGCAGATGAAGAAAGTGAAGCCCAGAAGAGCCAAGTAGCCTAAAGTCAACCAGGCAGTAAGAGCACAGCCAGGACCTAACTCTGAATCTAGCACTTTCAATTACACTATGCTGCCTTGTCATTTCAGCTAGACCATTAAAATCTCTGAGAGCAGGGATTCTCTCTTATCCTTATGGTACAATGCCTAGCACAAAGTATGTGACTGATTGACTGAATCACTTACAGTTCCTCAGTGCGTCCAATGCCCACCGCTCTTCAGAGACAGGGAAACGTGGCTCTGGGATAGTGCTCTGATAGTCCATTCCAGACTCTTTAGATGTCTCTTCTGCTTGTTCCTTTTCAAACTGTCTTTCAGCCAGTAGATCATTGATCTCTGATTTCCCAGAGGTAACTGATGAAGGGGACTGATGTTTTGATATTAAAGGAGTATCTGTTCCCATGTGTTTTTCTGCTCAATGGGGAATAAAAGGTGTGATGTTTATAAATAGTAGGGACTCAAATACCAAAGTAATGCCCTCACATGCTTCCCAAATGATAAAAGAAATTCTATATAATTTATGTTTGAGTATCTTAAACAGAAACTTAGCAAGAAGCAAAGAAAGCCATCCCTAGCAAAGCTTATAATTTTCAACCTAAAGAATTCAAAAGGAATTTCACCTGCATGGGCTATCCTGACAATCCTGCCATGTTAGATCAGTAGGCTAAATCTATGAACTACAGACCTCTTCAAAGATTCCTTAAAAATTTAATAAGATATATTGATCATATTTTCCCTGAGCTAATAGGAATGAGTTTACCTGGACTTTGAAGACTAGAGGTAGAAACACCATGTGATTCCTCCTTCACCTTTGAAGCTTCTTCTTCATCACGCTCACCTCTACAGAAATATAAAATCCATCTTTCATAACCATCAGGTACCTAACACCACTGCACCAAAATGTACACAATACAAAATCACAGTAATCAAAAATCAAAGCAAAAACTCACTCGCAGGGGGGTGACTCTGGTAGTGTAATGGGCTTTGTGGACTGTTCCTTTACTGAGAGGGCCATCCTGCCAATCAAGTCCTGCCAGCTGCAGGAAGTTCCAAGAAGTTGTTGAGGTAGGGGTGGGGGTGGGGGTGGCCCAGGGGAAGAGGAAGGGAAAGAAGAGAAAAAATAAGAGAAGATGAGAAAAACCACATCCAACACAACTTGGAAAAAGAAAGTAACTTTCAAATTTGCAAAGAGGAAATCTCTTATGTAGCAAAGTGCAGATGCCAAAGTCATATCTCAACAAGAAAACTAACAGTAATACAGTAATCTGTTTAAAGGATCCACTAAAAACTTGAGACAATGTTATAAAAAGAAAATTTAAGAAGAGATTAAATTTAATTCAACAAACATTTATTAAGAAACTAAGTAAGCTTGTGGTGGGTGCTGGGAATACAAGGATAATAAAACAAAACAATCTCTGCCCCAGAAGAGGATAAACTTCCTCAAAGATTGGAGCAGGGAGGGTATTCAGTTTACAGTCAGTGTTTTTGTAGTCCAACTACTTCTAGCCATTAAACTAATCAGGTTTGTGAAACATTAGGCTTTGAATCTAACAGAAAATACTAGGTAGAAAAATACAGTTGAGACCGTCACTTACACTGCCTTTTCAGAAACTGTCTGTGCCACCAATTCATAAATTTGGGCTCCATTATCTGACATAGAGATGACAAATAATGCTTTGTTATCTGGAAGAGAGAGAATAGAAAGTTATTCCATCATGGATCAAACAGAAATATTTGTGATCCCAAGGGGATGTTGAGTATTCACATCACTGAATCAAGCATTGTATTCATTTTCCATTATAGATGTGAGTTTCCAACTTCAACTATTCTAAACTCTTAAATGTTCATTTATTTTACCTAAGACAAAAAAGCTTACTACTGTTCACGTACATAATGGCACATGGTAGGAAAGCTCAGAGAATTTAGGTATCTCAAGTCTCTTGTGATAGATATGTATATGTATATGTATATGTATATGTATATGTATATGTATATGTATATGTATATGTATATGTATATGTATATGTATATGTACATGTACATGTATATGTATATATGTATATAAGTATGTGTATATATATATATAGATATATATGCATATCATTGCTTCACTTTACAAATAGGAAACAAAGCTCATGAAATTTCTCCAGGTTTACCCAAGCAAAGAATTTGAGATCCCTTTTCCTAACTAGACAACGTGCTATTTCTAAAGTAACTTTATAATGAACCATAAGTTGTAGTTTTTCACCCAGTGGAAGTACTTGCCTGTCGCAACTTGTCGAACCAACACGGTATTCAATTTGATCACAGGGCTGAATGTGTGTTTGCTATCTGCTGTAGATGCTAGAATTTTACTATGACACCTCAACACCAGTCTATCATCCTGCTTTTGTAACAATACAAGGATGTCCTCCAGCAACAATGTGTACAGATCTACAAAAGAGAAGGTACCACACATTCATAACCAACTTTATGGGGGGAAAAAAGCAGTATGATGATGTATGAGATCCAATAATCAGTTTGCTTCCTTATAGTAGCCCAAATTCACACATCACTTTAAGAATTGCAAAGTATCTTAATCAAGACATATTTCACAAGCATACCAGGCACTGTGCTAAGCACTAGGGACACAAAAAGAGGCAAAAGACAGTCCCTGCCTCCAAGGAGCTCACAATCTAATTGGGGAGCTCACATTCTAATATATTATTTCATTTAAGCCTCAAAACAACCCAGTAAAGTCAGTAGTACAGGTTTCATTATCCCCACTTGAAAGATGAAGAAAGATTAAATGACTTGCCCATAGTCAGTCATTAAGTGTTATAGGCAGGATTCAAATTAAAATCTTCTTGACTCTGTGTCCAGAACTTTAACTACTATGTCAAACTTCCCTTGCTTACAAATGAAATGCTTACAATTACTTTTTAAAATAGTAGTACTAGGGTAGAGATACAATTGGATCATGGCAAAGCCAACTGATATCTCTGTGATGATATTCATGTTAAATGTTATATAAATGTTAGCTATTAGTTTTGTGCTTAGCACACAGTGCCTGGTACATAGTAAGCAGTATATGACACACTGCAAAAGTAACCAAAACAAATAAGTGAAAAAACAACCCTTAAAAAACAGATCTTCAGGGGCAGCTAGGGTGCACAGTGGATAGAGCACCAGCCCTGAAATCAGGAAGACCTGAGCTCAAATCCGGCCTCAGACCAGACACTTGACACTTACTAGCTGTGTGACCCTGGGCAAGTCACTTAACCCCAACTGCCTTAAAACAGAGAGAGAGAGAGAGAGAGAGAGAAAGAGAGAGAGACAGAGAGAGAGAGAGAGAGAGAGAGAGAGAGAGAGAGAGAGAGAGAGAGAGAGAGAGAGAGAGAGAGAGAGAAAGACAGAGAGACAGAGAGACAGAGAGAGAGAAAGAAAGAAAATACAGATCTTCACATTTACAAGTTGTTCGTGACAGCACTGCAATTTGACATTACTTGAAAACATGAAAAACAAGCCTCTTCTTCTCAAGGGAATTTCACCTTCCTCTCAATTCCACTTCTACATTCCCTTTCTCTCTAGCAGAAAAAAAAAGGAAAAAACAACTGAAAAAAGACATCCAACCTACCAATAGTCTTATCTCTATTCACCTTCCATACCAACGGTCCTTCATGAATCATCTTCCTCTTTGTTAAATCCAAATTCTGTCAAAATGAAAAAAGCAAACACAAGTGACTCCCTGAATGACGTAATACTTTGCCAAAACTTTTACCTTCATCATTGCCATCATCAATGCAATAAGTATATTCATTATTTAAATTCAAATCATTCATACAGAGCAGGCATTATTCTTCCTAAATTATCTGAACAAGGATAAAATACAGAGACAGAGTAATTAAAACAAAATGATACAAAGGAATAGAGATACCTCAGAAAAGCAACTGCAAGACCTGTTTTCTCAATCTTATTATTACCATGATCTAACTACTTTACCCAGTCACCAGATCCTGACTATATGGGCCCATAAAGACCACCGCTCATATTCAGTCTTAAAAGCCTAGATGACCAAGAGGCTTCAAATATTACCAATTATTAACATAAAAATCCTCTTTCTGTCATTCATTTAGCCACAAAAGAAGAGTGCTGGGACAACAAAAAGAGGGTAAACACATTAAAACATGCTTATCTGTGAAAAGTTACACCACACAATGAAGTCTGTTTTAAATATCTACTTAAAAGACCTACCTAAACTGGCTACATAGTAAGGGTGGCATTTTTAATGAAATTATATTTTTAGGGATACTCAAAAGTAGTCATGAAGAAATAATACTACTAGAAGTTGTATTTAGTATAAGTTTTGCCATCGTTTAGTGTCACAATTATAGAAGTTGAGCTTTTCTGCGCTTTAAAAGAACCTTAAGGAAGGACTATTAAAATATCTTGTTCAACCCAATAATCTGGGAAGTCCATTCAGTAAACAGCACCTCTGCACAAACTACAGAACAATTTTTTCTTTAAAATTCAAGTATAATTAGGATTTCTAAACTTCTTGGAAGTTTCTTCTACCCTGATGTGCAAAAGAGTAGAGTACCATACAAGCATTCCTCTAAATGAGCTACCATCACAATATGGTACAGATGTTTAAAGGAACATCAAAAATACAAAAGTAGACAATATGTCATGTTTTCTTTACATTATAATAAACTCCAAAAAAGTTTGGTTACCTATCACTGTTCTGTTAAACTGAACTCTATGAAAACTATTAAGACCATTAGACCTCTCTCACCCTGAGCTCTTCAACATTTGGATACTCTGACAGCTTCAAGTTAGATGTATCAAGGCGACGCTGGTAATCTTCTAAGCGCTGGAAATGAGATAACATGAAGCCAGGGTTATTGCTCTGGTGAAGTGATGCTCAAATAGTATTGCAACCTGGTGCTATACCAGGGCACAATGACCTTGATATACCAGTTACAGAAGTAAAGTCTTTCCCTGTAACTAAAACAGCTGGTATTTCAGGGATATCTGTTTCTCTTTTACCAGTCCCACCTTTTCCTTCCCTTGCTGTCTTAATAGTTAGGTGTTTTTTTTGTTCTTTACCTGTTTGTTCTCTGCCTCCTTGACAGCTTGATTCACATAATTTAGGATTTGACGACAGTGATCTGCTGCTTTCTTCACCTTTTCTCTTTCCTTTGGCCGTTCTGAAATTAGGCAAGATAGAAAAAAGCAAATGGTAGAAATTTGATGAGAAGATGAAAAATGGAATTTGATTCCAATCCATTAAATCAATGCTCTGCTATTTTTTTCCTATCTAGTTGAAAAATAATTTATTTATAAGTTCAAAAATGTTATGACAGCCTTGGTCAATGACAAGTCACTAACCAGGTTTGAAAACATTTTGCTTGGCAGTAAAGCCATGAAAACAGTAGAACAAAATACTTCTAACAGCACTATTTTAAGCAATAAAGAGTTAGTGTACAGAGCTCCACATGTAAAGAACTATATTTATTTTAACATAGAATTGTTTGAAGAGTGCTATGAATCCAAATAATTCCATAAAAAGTAATTCATTGAATGTGAAATCAAGTTCAAACAGAGTAAAAAGTGGTCTACAAAATCCACATCATTAAAAAGAAATTCAATGAAAGGTATGTGAATGTTATACTCTTACTGAGAATTTAAGGGATGCTAAAATCAGTTATCAAAGTTATAATTCCCCAGACAATTATAATCCAGTCATATTGTACAAATATAGTAAGGCATAAAATTTAATGGAATTTTTAGTAAGACAAAATCCTACTTATACAATAAGGAGTAAGCTATTGTTTCTAGGAAGAACTATAATTTTCAATTTCCTAATTTGTATATTCAAATTTTGAGATATAAAATTAGATGAGCAAAAGCTTAGTTGCACTAAATTATTTAAAAAGCTACAAGCACATGACCCTAAAGCAAGACTGAAGAAAAATGACTTTGTTTCAATTTTCACTACAGGAAAGTCAGTACTACAGTAATATAGTAAGTACTTTATGCATCTCTGTAAGGCCTGAACAGAATCAAAGAGCCATACATAGGTAATTGAACCTAGAAGGACCCTTAAAAAGAACATTTAGTCCAATGTTTCACAATTACCAGGGCTTGGCAAATTTCCACCAATTCATTAAACATTTACTAACAAAAGATTGTTATTTCTTAAATATAGACTTAAAAAGCTTTTAAAAACTAACTTATTTTCCAGCAGTTCTCTCTGTCTTTCCTTTCCAATCCCTAGCTTTCTCTATTCTAAGCTCCCAACCTCTGTCCTCGAGGTATTTGAAATTGCCCAGGAGGGTTCTCAGTAGATAATTCAAACATATTACCAGTCTAATGTATAGTTTGGGAAATGATGATCTTATCAACTGTCTCCTCAGGACCTCCCTCTTCTCCAACCTAATTTATACAAATTTATACAAAAGATAAAATTTCCTCTGACCCTGGTGTAGCATGCATTACACAATACCAGCACATGCCATTGTAAAGCGGCTACAAAGTAAATTAAGTAATATCTTGAATCCTGACATATCATTTGGACAGACAGTCAGTCAATAAATACTTATTAGGTGCCTACTATATGCCAAGCTATGCTTAGGGCTGGGGATACAAAAAGAGGCAAAAAATAGTCCCTGCCCTCAAAGAGCTTACAATCTAATGGTAGGGAAAAGCAAGCAAGCAAATTAAGTACAAACAAACTATATACATGGTAAACAGGAAATAATTAAGAGAGGGAAGGCACTAGAATTAAGAGGGGTTGTGAAAGGTTTCCTGAAGAACAGAGGTGTGAAACTCACAGCACTCCCAAATACCTGCAAAACTTCTAGAACCAAAATAAAATGTAATTGGAAAATGTTTAACAAAATAAATAAAAATATAATACATCATAGATAATACTAATTTGTGGTTTTCCAAGTCAATTAGCAACCCACAGGGACCGTTTCTATTTGAGTTTGATACCACTGATGTAAAAGATGGGATTTCAGCTGGTATTTGACGGAAGTCAGGGAAGCCGGGAGGCAGAGCTGAGGAAGAGCATTCTGGGCATGGAGGATAGGCAGAGTAAATATCCAGAGCCAACAAATGGAGTGCCTTGTGTGAGGAACAGCCAGGAGGCCAGTGTCCCTGGATCAAAGAGTATGTGTTGGAGAATAAGGTATAAAAAGACTGAAAAGATAGGAGGGAGCTAGGTTATGAAGGGCTTCGAATACCAACAAAGCCTCTTGTATTTCGATCCTTAAGGTGATAGGAAATCAGTGGAGTTGACTGAATTAGGGGGTGGGGTGAGGTACAGAGGGTGACATTGTGTGATATGCACTTCAAATGGCCGGGGAGAAAATGAAAGGGTCAAAGGATTAGAGGACTTAGTGTGAGGTTTGGTAAGGGAAAACAGAAGGAAAATAAGTCTGCAGATAAGGGGGTGCTATGTTACACTAACAGGAGGTAGTATTTTATGAACTTACTGCATTTAAGTGGGAATACTATACTGTACCTGTGTACTTAGCAATATTATCCAGCAGAAGGGGATATTTAGTGAGCCTCTGCATTTGAGTAGGAATAATATCCTTTAGCTGCAGTCGACGGCACAGTGGATTACTCTCAGCATCCTAAAATTAAATAGTATGAAATTAAACTGCAATTGTCATTTATATTAAAGGTGTAATTACCTGAACATGTACAATCTACCTATTCATAATGTATATGTGTAAATGTGTGTGTATCCACATTTCCAGTAAGGCAAAAAATGCCAAGATTTATCATCAACATTTCACAAACCTATTATGTCTTTAATCAAATACAGGAAGAATAGCATCACTTAAAACTATTAAACCAATAGCTTCCACCCCACATTCCAGATACTTGTTATCATTTGTAATAAATTGAAGTCACTGCTTTCTAGAGACACTATCAATTTCACATTAAAAATTTTTTAAACATATGCCATTTTTCAAAATCAAACTATTATTTTACAATGCTTGACATTCCTTAGGATAAATTAGTGAACTAATGTGGTATTTTTTTCATTGAAATGGGCACAGCAAACAATGCATCTACATCATTCTCTTTCCCAAAGCACGTGCCTATAATTGTGTCTTCTTGAGTCAAGACTTTTGCTCTACTACTTTCACCCTAGTATCCTAATAGATGCAAACTGTCTCCTGATCATACACCAATAGCATTGCTGAACATCTGTGGCAGGTGTCTTGATCATGATATTAAATATTCTTTTTATCAAAGTATTATCGACCCCTTCACAATGTTAATATTCTACCCCTCCAGAAATGACTTAGTAGAGATAATCTAGGGCTGGGAATAATCTTGATGTAAGACCAATGCCAGACACAATTCTAGTAAATGATTTAATCTTAATTATACTCCTAGTTTATCCTAGCTTTGTTAAGAACCAGAACTGGCACTAGCTCTTACTGCTGACTTAGCAACTCAATTTACCTGCACAAAAGTCTGGAATCTAGAGTCCTTTTTCTGACGAGACTTGATCATTTCCAGGGCAAAAGGCTGGTTACTACAAAAGGTGGCAGCTGCATGTTTCAACTTCTCCTCTCCTGCTCCGCTGAACTGTGCCAAGAATGTAAAGAAAACAATAGAGAAAGGGATAATAGACAACACAACACAGGGCAAGATGATGAACATCTAAAGTACCTTTTCAATGGAAGTATTTTCAAGTGATAATAGATGTAGATTAGCCACTTATTTACATGGGGGAAGGAGAGGAACTTTTATCCATCAAAAATAATATCCTTTCCATTCCACTAATATAATTATATCTTTTCTCATCATCTAAGATCTTGATGTTAGAAGAGCAATTTGTCAATCAAGAAATATTTATTTACAGAAATTCATAGATTATTAGAGTTGAAAGGGACTTCAAGGATCACCTCCATTTAACTCTGTCACCTTAAAAGTAAGGAGACCCAAGTCCAGAGTGGTTTAAGTGACCTGTCCAAGATCTTGCTTGACAGTCCCCTTTCTGTCAATGATACATAACTAAATGCACAGAAAAGCTGCTCCTTTATTAGCATGGGACACCAAGTGTACTGCTGTTCTGAGAAAGAAGATGAAGCATGAATGTAAGGTGACAAAATTTCAATTTTCCTAGTATTAACACCTTTGTTAACTAATCCCCTTTGTAAAATTCCAGGTGTCCTTCGCTGGGTATTCATCCACATCAGGTCCCCTAACTATGCATCTCTCTCAAAGTTCTGTTCTTCTTTCTTTCCTCTAGACTCTCTCTTCATTAACCCCATCAGTTTGCATGGACTATTATCCTGATAAAGATGACTCCCACAAAAACAAATTCTGCTGCCATCTCTCCCCTAATCTCACTACCTTTCTTTCCTTTTTTTTTTTTGGGGGGGGCAAAGCAATTGGGGTTAAGTGTCTTGCCCAGAGTCACATAGCTAGTAAGTGTTATGTGTCTGAGGCCAAATTTGAATTCAGGTTTTCCTCACTTCAGGCTCACTTCTCTATCCACTACGCCACCCAGCTGCCCCACTATCTTTCCCCTAAATCCTTCCCTCTTCCAAACTTTCCTTTTAGACTCCACTCAAGTGCTACCTTCTGCATGAAGCCTTTCTTGATCCTCATCTTCTTCTTGTCTCTCACTGTTGCCTTCTTCTCTAAGGTTACCTTGTATTAGCTTTACATATGTTTTGCATATACCTATATATGTGCATTTTGTCTCCCTTGTTAGAACACAAGTTGTTTGAGGGAAGGGGGCATTATCTTTTTGTCTCATTGAGGTAGCTGGTGGTGCTGTGGATAGAGAACTGGGCCTGAAGTCAGGAAAACCTGAGTTCAAATTTGGCCTCAGACACTAGCTGTGTTACCTTGAGCTCATTTAAACTCTATTTGCCTCAGTCTCCTCACTGTAAAACGGGGATAATAATAGCAACTATCTCACAGGGTTGTTGTGAAGATCAAAAGGGATAATACTTTTAAACACTTACCACAATGCCTGGCACACAGCATATGTAACATAAACACCTATTTTCCTTCCATCCTTACCCACCTTCACTTTATCCCTGGCACCTAGCACAGAGCTTGGAAAACAGGAGATGCTTAATAAATGCTTGTTAGTTGACTGATATTGCTACTGCCTTCCCTACATTTTAAATACGGTGAAATTATCTTCATTTTTCAATTGTTGGGATAGTGCGAATTTATCAGCATAAATACTCTAGGTATATATACAGGTTTTGATGGAATGTAGGAATTGGAGTCATGCAGCTATTACACAATTTTAGCCAACCTCTTCCAATCTGCACTATTAGAAGACAAATAACTCATCTTTTTAAATAAATGAAAAAGAGCTCTCAGTTTGAGCACTTAACGTGACACAACCAACAGAGTTCAGGTTTATAAAGTGTGGCAGTTTGCATATTTTAGGAAAGGTTATATTTGCTTAACTTCCATTCTGATCACAAATCAACTGGTTCTAAAACTTTTCAAAGTAAAAATCTTTACCCAGATCAATAAATCTTCTCCAATCTCATCAATTACAGAAGTCTCATTCCTCTTTCGAACAGCTTTCATTTGTTCATTCAATCCAACTTGAAAAAAGCAAGAGGAAAAAAATAATTCTTAACTTAATCATACATTTAAATTTCAACAAATATTTATTAAAGGTCTAATAAGTGCTCAGCTACATTTTAGAAGAGACAACAATTAAATAAGAAAAGATATTTTCCCTCATAGAGCACACAATACAGTATACATTTGGGGGAGGCAGAAGAAATGTTAATGAAATACACACACACAAAATTATAATATATACAGCAAGTGCATATAAGAGAGGTACAAACAAAGTGAGGTCTGAAGGGTGAAAGATCATTACTGAGTTGGAGAGGAGGGAGACTGGGGAAGGGATTTCATAGATTAAGGGTAGGTGGGGAAAGAAAAAGCATGATTTCATGTAGGGGCAACAGCATGAATAAAGGAAAAGAAATGGGTATGCATGGCATGGGCAAACAAAATGGTTAGTAGTTCAGTTTGGCTACAATGTAGTACATATAAAGGGGAGTAGTAAAAGGTAATGATAGAAAAGTAGAGGATTGCCAGGTTTTGGAGGGTCAGGCTAAGAAGTTTTAACTTTGTTTTATTAAAGTTAAAATTTAACTTTGTAAATAGGTAATGCAGAAGTTATGAAGCATTTTGAGCAGAAGATGTGATCAGGTTTACAAATAAGTAAGATTAGGATGGCAGCAGTAGAAAGGACGGAACGAAAAGAGATGATAGACCCAGGAAGACAAGAGTAGATAATGATAAGGGTCTGTACTAGGGCGGTAATAGGAAGAACAGGGTGAAGAGAATGAACTGAAAGAACTTGACAACTGATATCTGAGGATGGTGAAAAGCCAAAGCCACACCAAAACCAAGCTTTTGAACATAGTTGGATGGTGGTGCAACTATAAAGATAACAGAAACAAATGTTGGGGAAATAAACTAAGTTTGGCTTTATATACATATGTTAGTTTGTGATAAAAGTAGGATATACAAGTGGAAGCATCCTGTTTACAGGCTGAAAGATTCAAGAGAAAGATATAGATTTGGGAGTGATTTGCGTAGAGATTATTAGTTGAAGCCACTATAATAAGATGGATCACTAAAGGATACAGTGTAGGAGAACAGATAAGAGGATTGAAAACAGAATTTTGGAAAACTATTAACATTAGATTTATTTCACTTTGGATTTTCAAAGTAGCTTTTCCTCTTTTAAAACAGAATCTGCACATTAAGTTAACAAACCTAGGCATTAATAAGCACTTAAGGAATACAGTGTTAGGTATAAATTCCACAGTAAAATACTCTTTCTAGAAACTTCCATGTTAACAGACAGGACTTTAACCAAAAGGACACATAGTTCGAATCGAAAGTTTTCTCTTTATAGATCTGCACTTGTTTCTTTTCAGGCATAATCTTCCTATGTTTCACACCCTGAGCCTCCAGTGATCAAGCTCAGTGTTACTTTCTTACTGTGAAGCTGAAGAATCTCTTCTAGGTTGGAGAAGATTCTTCTCAGTTCTGATGATGACAAAATCCCCTCTCGGGACACTCGCTGGTAGAACACCTGATCTAGGACCTTCAGTGTGCGGACATGAGCTCGCTCAGTGTAGAACAACTCTGCACAGAAAAGAAGGAGTGATTTCAGTCAAGAAAAGGTCTTACAATGCCAAGCAAGGTCTCTAACTGGCAGAAGCCACAGCTCAGGAAGGATAGAGTTACATAATACATAATTCAGTTTAGAGAGGATGTGTTATTATAATCTCTGTATTCAACAGCTTAACTCTAAGGAAGTGTTTCAGCTGTTCATTCACATTGCCTCAGGTAAATACTTATTTGATGTCATAGGCCAAACATCAGAAGACCTGAGCTGACTGTTCCCACTGTCTCACATGATCTAGGTGACTGTGGGGAAGTCATTTAACCTTTCTGAGCCTCAGTCTCCTCATCTGCAAGCTACGATGCTGCAAGAAGTACTTTAATCATAATCTACCACTTACTGGTGCAAGAAGTACTTTAATCATAATCTACCACTTACTGGCCATGGTAAGGGACTTCACCTTTCTGAGACCCAGTTTCCTGTTTTTGTATCAAATTGGATAATGTACAGAAAACATTTGTTAAACTTTAAAATAATAAACGATCATTATACTATAATCTATAATCTAAAGATGGAAATTATAATACCTCCCCTGCCAACCCTGAAAGTTGCTCTAAGGATCAAATGGAATCATGCATATGAAAGACATACCTTATATAATAATCAGGTAAGGTAAGGTAGGTAGGGGGCACAGTGGATATAGCACCAGGCTCAAAGTCAGAAGACTCATCTTCCTGAGTCCAAATCTGGCCTCAGACACTTCCTAATTTGGTGACACTGGGAAGTCATTTAACCCTATTTGCCTCAGTTTCCTCATCTGTAAAATGACTTAGAGAAGGAAATGGCAAACCATTTCCAAGAAAACCCCAAATGGGGTCATCAAGAGTTGGACACAACTGAAAAAAAAAACGACTGAACAACAAAAAATATAATAAGGTACTTGAGTACTGACAGTTACGGAGAGAGAAAAACTGGATCTGTGACTTCACTGTTCTGGGCAACTCTTAAGTGAGGAAACTAACTCTGCCAAGTAAAGTTGGTACCTTTTCTGCAACTTGTAATCTTAGAGAACTGTCCAGAGCACAAAGGGTTAAGTGACTTGACCAGAGTCCCACATACATGATCTGAGCATAGGGAGGCTAGACTTTAGGTCAGATTTTCCTGGCTTTGAAGCCAGATATCTCTTACCTTAACCACAAGGCCTCTCCTACTGATAAGAAGGAAGCATTCATCATTTGTATAGCACCATTCTGACCTTCTGAACTTTTAAGCTAATAATAATCACTGACATTTACCATAATTAACTTTTTTACAGAACCCTATTACTTTATCAAAACTTTAGCACCATAAACTCATAGGTTTTAGCCATCCAACTTAAGTCTCAAAATCATTATGGTTAAAAGACTATATACTATAGTTAGAAGATCTATGATTTTATCACATCAGGTGATCACTGGTGAGCATCTCTCCATGCTTAAGTAGATGGTCTTCATTAATTGCTTTGAAATAACAGAAAAAGTTATTACCTAGGGGTCAACCCCAGGGTAAGATATCTTCTCTAGACTCAGCTATGCTAGTCTTTGGACAACAGAACTCGTCCTCCACCAGGCCTATATTCAGGGGCTTTTCAGATTAGTTGGGTATGCTGGAGTATGTTTGCTGGCATTGATACCTTTAAGCACCCCGAGTCACTTCAACTTTTCAGTAATAAAACAGGAGTAAGACTTTAGTGACAGTACATGTGGGCTATGACTTTAAACTGGGTCCTATTCAGAAGTGATAATATTTTCTGGTCATACTTTTCTGTCTGCACATTCTAGAATGTAATAAATGGGTAGCTAGGTGGTACATTAGATAGCACACCAGCCTGACATCAGGGAGAGCTGAGTCAAAAATCTAACCTTAGACACTAGCTGTGTGACCCTGGGCAAGTCACTTAAGCTCTGTTTGACTCAGTTTCCTCATCTGTAAAGTGATGATAATAATAGCACCTATCTCCCAGGGTTGTTGTAGGGATAAAATGAGGTAATATTTGTAAAGCACTTAGTACAGTGCCTGGCACAGTAGGGACTATTTAACATTACTTATTACTATTATTGTTGTTGTAACATGAGCCTTTTCCACCTAAAATAGAAAGTCTAGCTTATTCTAGGTAATGCATAGTCTTATACACTTGCCACAAATACATAGTCTACTGGGAAAAGTACTATATAACAACATAGGAGACCTCCAGCATACACACCTAGTAGCGATGTGTCCCTAATTAAGTCCCTGCCAAGGTCTCAACTGCTTCATGTATAAAAATGTAAATAATGATACTTTACCTGCCTGAAATCAAAGGATGAGATCAGATGATTACTTGAGGTCACTTCCAGCTATAAGATCTACAATTCTCTGTATTCTGAAGGCTGCCTTTTGATTTTAGATTAATAATAATAAAAGATTTAGAGATGGGCAGTACTTTTAGGGTTTGTCTTGTCTAACCTTATTTCATGAGGCTAGAGGAGACTGATAGACAGAGTCCAAGGCTGCAAAGTCTGCCTTATTCCTATAGAACATGACAAAAGGTCAAGGAAAAAAGTGATTACACTTACCATTGATCACTTCCTGCCTTTTGATCTCACAAGGTTTTAGCCCTAGTAGCACCTCTCTGCTAACAAGCTGCTGCCAATTTGGTGGGTCCGTTTCTAAATCATTTTCAAACTGTTCATCTTCACTCTGACTTTCCCCAAAAGCTATACTATCAAGCCTAGAAGAGAGAAAAACAAACTTATTTAAGATCTAATAAGTGAACAGTGATACAAAATAGGTTTAAACAGTAGCAATTAGTGATATTAAAATATATCTATCTTAATACATGTTTTTGCTGAAAGCTATTTAAAATGAGTACTCACTTTCGGAAAGATTTTGGTGTTCCATGTTCAGGTAACCTAAACAACGAAAAAAAAACAACATCAAAAAATGGTGGACTGACATCAAGTGAAATGAGTAGAACAAGGAGAACCAATTTATACAATGACTACAATGTAAAGGAAAACAATCTTTTAACTTCTGATAACAGCTCTAACCAATACAATGACTTCAGATTGAAGGATCCTTCCACACCTTTTTGGCAGAGGAGTAAGTAATGGATTAAAGGCACAGAATGGGCTATTTTCAGACATGGCTAATGTATGACATTGCTTTGCTTGAATATACTTAAGTGTTACCAGAAAGGGCTTGCCTTGAAGGAAGAAATTTTGCTAGGTAATGTTAACAAGAAGGAAGGGCAGGGTAGGGCAGGGCAGGGCAGGGCAGGGCAGGGGAGGGGAGGGGAGGGAGGGGAGGAGGGGAGGGGAGGGAGGGGAGGAGGGGAGGGAGGGAGGGAGGGGAGGGAGGAGGGGAGGGGAGGGGAGGGGAGGGGAGGGAGGGAGAGGGAGGGGAGGGAGGGGAGAAGGGAAGGGAGGGAGGGGAGGGGAGGGAGGGGAGGGGAGGGAGGGAGGGAAGGGAAGGAGGAAGGGAAGGGAAGGGAAGGGAAGGGAAGGGAAGGGAAGGGAAGAGAGGAAGGAAGGAAGGAAGAAAAGAAAAAAGCATCAATGCGAAACTAAAGAAATATATAGAAAAAAAGCACAAAGAAGTTCAAGAGGAGTCAGACAAGCAGGGCAGTCCTGTTACTATCATGTTAAATTTAATGTGGACTTTCAAAAAAACCTACATAATGGAAATCCATGATTTCATATGAAATTCTCATTTTCTGTTCTTAAGAATACTGAAATGCTCGATATGTGGTGATGTTGGCCAAGTTCATAATAAAAAAATGACAGAAAAAGAAATATATCTCATATGTTCAGTTAAAGTACAGGCTAAATCATCAATGAGATAAGCAATTTTTCTATATATTGGAAGTTTAATATTATCTTTTCTTGGAGTTTCAGTATTAATTCAGTTTGGAAGACAATTTCCAAAAGGCTACTTTCAAGGAAGAGTGGATATTCATCAAGTTGTATTTATACATTTACAGATACATAAATCACACTGTTCCTAAGCGGTTAAACAATGACTTAAATTCTCACTGACTGGGTGTCCAGCATTACCTTTCTACTTCACCTTCCTCCTCCTGCAGTTGTTCTAATGGCGGAGCTGGGAAATCAAAGACTGTATTGGGAGTTCGTGGTGTACCATCTGTAGAATCTCCAGAAGCTGGTGCTTCTCCAATCTGTTTTGACCCTAGAAAAGAGAGATCAAGCATTTAAATGGCATTTGTACTAACCAAATGTAACACTTTTGTCAATTACATATTCCTTTAAAAGGAACAGACTCTAATCTTCAAAAACATACAAAGGATTGGGACCAAGAAATATCTAAGATATTAAATTCTACCCCGAGTAATTTGGGAAACAATTTTTAAGGTTTATGAATAGTCCAGGTTTGAATAATTCTTTCTGATAAATAACAAAAGATCCAAACTAAGTAATTATATATAACCTGACAGAAATGGTTTCTTACCAACTAAGATTCTCAAACATGCTGCTCTATCAACTTACCCATTTCATTCTCTTTTCCTCCCTCTTGGGAGGCACTAGTCCCTGAAGTCAAAGAAGACATGGGATTAGCAGGCATATATATAACATCTGCTACATCACTGGAGATCCCACTCTGGCGCAATTTAGCAGAGTCCTGAGGTTCAGGACTCACTGAAGAGGGTGTGGATAAGTGCTTGGGATGGCGCTGTTTTTGTAGTTCCATGGCTCTGCCAACTGAACAGACAGAAACTAATTAGAAATCAGGGAGGTCACTGAGTGAAATTCTGATTTTTGCTAGTTCAAGGAAGTATTTCCTCAATAAAAGTGAAAATGAGTGAAAATATCACATATTATCTAAACCCCCAGGAAGGAATGGAAATCTATATGCAAAAAATGTCTCAAGTGGTTTCACATTTACCTATATATGTTATTTGGATTGGTCTCACTTTTAACTCCTCTCTAATAACTCATCCTAACAAAATAAACATCCGCTAACCAGCAAACAATGGAGAATGGAGCACTTTCAAAACCAACATACTTGCACTGTTGTCATGACGGCTTGGCCTCCTTGGGGGTCCTAAAATGTTTGGGAATCCTCTTCTCTTCACTTTTTCTTCACCTTCCCTATCTTTCTTTATACTTTGCTATAGTCAACAAACAATCAAAGAATTAAAAGACATATGACATTTTTTATTATCAGTTTTCTCTTGTTCCTTGAAAATAAAAATATATTCTTAAAAGCTGGGTAAAAATTAAAATGAATATAAAGGCTTGCATACATTAACTTATTATTTACTTAAACTTAAGAGTAAAGCATTTAAATATACCATGGGAGTAATGTAGAAAAATCTACTTATGATTAAATGAGTCGATTACAATGGTACTAATGAAGCCACATCATAGAGCTGATCTTTTGATATAACAGATTTGTTTCATTCCATATGTTGTTAGAATATAAGGCTCTTTGATGGTAGGGATTATCTGTCTTTTGTATTTGAAATTTCAATGCTTTAGCAGTGCCTACCACGTAGTAAGTATTTAATAAGTGCCTTTTCCAGTAACAGGCAGTCAAAAAGACTTACTATTAAGAGCTTATTGTGTGCCATACAGTGTGCTAAATGCTAGGAATACAAAGAAAAGTAAAAACATGGTCCTCACTCTCAATGAGCTCACATTTTAATCGAGGAGACAATATGCAAACAACTAAGTACATATAAGATAATGTAAATGGGAGGTCATTTATTCCATCCAAAGTTATCTTCCAAATACATGCTACTGATCTCAAGAGCACTAGGCAAGAAAATATGTATGAATCAACATGAATTCAATCACTCTATCAACACTATTAGACAGACAGCTCTAAGTACATGTCCTACTGATGGAAAGTTAGTAATATCTTAGAATCACGGAAATGTGGAGTCAGAAAGCAACTTTCAGATTATCTCATCAAACTTTCTTTTACAGATGAAAAGACTGGATGAGTAGCCCACAGAGGTAAATGCCTTCCCCCAGGTCACAGAGAGACTGAATCGGAATCTAAGGTTTCCTAACTCCAAATCCAGTGTTCCTTCCTACTTCCCCTATGCTGCCTCTTCTATACAAAAGACAACATTACTGTGTAGATAAGAACATGTTCCACTGGTGAAAAGCAAAGTCTTTACTGTCTAAGAGATGATGTCTATTTCAATCCATGATATTTACTCATACTGCCATCTGAGTCTACTTCTGTCTATAGGGCCAACAATTTAAATCAAACCACTTTTATAGTTTTCAAGAGTATAATAATAATAATAATAATACTACACAAACAATAGTGCAGAATACCATTAAAAACAGGCTCTGAATCTAGAAGCTAGACATAGAAGTAGAAAATTAATCAACATATTAAGAGCCAAATAGAAGAATATGTCAGCATCAAAGGTAAAATACCACATAGAACAGAAATACCTTAAAGGACTATTTCAAAAGACAGAAGGAGGCTTGATAACACATCAAATTTTAGGGGAAATGAAAAAAGTAGGGCAGGTAAAGGATGAGCTGAATGGAGAAACATAAACTTGAGAAATTAAGATAAGGATACAGAAGACAAAATCTGCTGGAGAGTATTCTCACAGAATAATGTACATAGCCAATGAAAAATCTTGGAGGGGGGAAAGGGAGGATGCTGATAATATAAACACACAATGAGGAAAATTAAACCAATACAAATAAAAGGTGGGGATCCACGAAGAAGTGCAGAAGCCCCCTTTACACCACTTGTACCTTGATTTTTGGCAGAAACCCAATGCGACCTCGCTTATGCTCCAAATTCCGAGGCTCTTTTACTCTGACTCCCAAATGCTTCATGTACATGAGGATCACATACTGCATTGTTGAACTAGAAGAGAAAAGATTAACTTAACTGTTACTTTTGATAAGGAAAGGTGAACAGGATAAAGGCATCAGTGACTTTTTAGGCCTATGGGCAATATGCCTAAGGCAACAAGTGAAGCATAAACTATAATCTATAGCTACAAAGAGAAAAAAATTCCATTCATGAAGAGACTAGGAAGTCTCTTTGTTAATGTATATATACCACTAGAGGGAGACTGTTATATTACTTATAAATCACAAAGAATGAATCACAAAATAGGATTGGGGAGTGTTTTTCTTACTACTCCACTGAAAATGCAAGAAATATTACCTCTTGTCTTCTTCAACAGCTTGAGCTGTCATCCTACAAACAAGAAAGTTTAGAAACAATAAATTAAAATTTAATAAATTATCTTTTCATCACTTAACTTTGATACTTAAAACTCAAGACAGTAGATGCCAAAGCCATGGCACTAAATTCTTAGTACAAAGAATTTGGTGCCAGAGACAGTCTAATCCACAGTGGGGCTAAAATCTTTTCACCTTTATTTCATCAATTATGCACGCTTTATTCTAGGCATCCAATAGATAATAAACATTTGATTTGGGGAAAAAAAGTTTTTACTCATTTAACAAAAATTCTCAGAATATCAGGGCAGGAAATCACTAACATTTCATACATATGTATATTTTTCTTTCTTATGCTGATTCTTTCAATCAGTCTTTTTTATATTGTGATAAAAACAATCTCCATTTTATAACACTCTATTACTTACAACACTTCTTCAATTTTGGCAATGATCTGCTCTGCACATGCCCGTTCTTTCTCCAGGGTTACCCGGTCACGGTCTCGCTCTGCATCAAGTTTGGTCAGTTCACTTTCAGCTAAGGTTAGCCCCATACTACGTTTCTGCCTGAAGAGAATGAGATGAATGCTACAGAAGGACACTAGAGAAGAAGTATCTCCCTTCGGTGATGTTTGGACTGTGTGTCCCTCTAGCTAACAGTTTCTAACTCTGGGGAAAATGCCATATAGTTAATCTAATATCACCTAGGGTGCTGGGGGAAGAAACTCTGAAGACAATCATATATCAGAACACAGATCTTATGCCCCCAAAGGGATACATTTCTTACACACAAAACACAGAGATCAACAACTGCAAGCAACTGGCAGAATGGACCATGTATGTCACTTCTTCTCCACTCACAGACAGAGGACCTAGATGTTCAAGATTGGTTTGAACCATGCCCCTAAAGCCAGGGTGCAGTGATTTTAAAGTCTCCCTCTACCTAAAATAATCTCTAATGATAAAATTAATTATAATCTGCCAACATACAGACCTAAAGTCTTCCAAGTGCTTCTGAACTTCAGGATAGACTTTATCTTGCATAGTTTGGACATAATGTCGGTGCAAATCTTCAGGTATAAGTTCTGGCCTTCTTTTTTCTAAAGGAAAATAAGAAAGGAATTAGCTGCATTACCTGTGAGTCAATATACATCAGCTGACAAAAAAGATCAATATTACCTCTCATATTAAGTACAACCTAAAATATTTATTAAAGACTTTATCTTTGCCTCATAGCTTTTCAGCTCTAGGTCTGAACCTCTGAAACAAATCTGGTGATTAGCTATTATATCTTTCCTTCAAGTTAAATAAATCCACTTGACATGACCTTGTAAAGAGATTACTTAGAAATCTCTCAAAAACAACCACAACAACAGCTATATATATAAAATTTAAGATTTGCAAAGCACTTTACAAATATTATCTAATTTGATCCTCACAACAACCCTGGGAGGTAGATGCTATTATCATCTTCATTTTACAGATGAGAAAACTGAGGCAGGCAAAGGTTTAAATAACTTACCCAGATTCACAAAACTTTAAGTGTCTGAGGCCATATTTTAAATTAGGTCTTGCTAACTCCAGATGCAGTGCTCTATCTGCTGCATCACCTAGTTGCTGTATATGTCTTATTCTTTGAGACTTACTTACCCAGGTCTAGAGATATTTCATCTGGAACAGAAACCTTCAAGTGCTTTAAAAAAAAAGGGGGGGGGAGAGAAAAAAAGCTAAGAAACAGCACTGTGTATCTTTCAGTAAATATGTATGTGTGCATAAACACACATCAGTGATACAGTCTAGATTCTATGAACCCCTTAGTGCTTAGCATGGTATACATAACACTTGATCAATATTTACTGAATTATAAACATACACACTGATCTATGCTTATTGCAAATACTATATTACTTTCTTCTCAAGGCTTAAGAATAACAGAATAGCTTAAGTTCTAACACTGTTATGCACATAATGTTAAAATACCAAGAAAAAGGAGTCTAGTACCCCAGGTGGGCTATCTATGGAGCATGTGTTGGCTGCCATGGACAAAAAGCTGCAACAGGATTAGGTGTGGGATGTCTTTCACAAGCGGAATGTCTGTCTTTATCACCAGAAAAAGTACCCACACTAATGAGATTGTAAATCCACTTTAGTATTTACAATCTCGTTGACTACATCCCTACTTATCCAAATCTGTTATATCTAGAATGTTTTTATATTTGACCCATCAGAGAGTTTCCTTTAGGAAAAAAACTCATTTTGAGGGTTTTGAATCAGAGATGTTTTCTGGGTACTTATAACAAACACTATGTTTGGTTAGGGTGTCCTCCTAGCCATTTTGCTATCTAAGTTCATAGAACTAATGCTTCAAAAGAAAGGAGCCAAATAATTTCACTACAATATAAAAATTTTGCATCCTATCCAGTTCTAATTATCAGAAAATTCATCATTCTCTGAGACTGCATCAACTCACACCTTATTGATATTCTCAGTACCCTCTACCCCACTGATCTGAGGGCTAGAGAGCAGAGTAAAGTGTTTCTCCCAAAGCCACCATTTAAACAGGGCTCCCAGGCCAGCCACCTCTTCATTTCCCACTAACTTACACCTTTTCGGACTTCATCACCCCACCCTACCCCAATTCCCACCCTCTTGCTTTTCAGTTTCATTTTGTGCATTGCCTTGCCCTCATTAGATTGTAAGATCCTTGACAGCACAGACTATCTTTCTTTTTCATATTTATAGCCCCAGCAGTTAGCCCAGTGCCTAGGCACAGAATAAGCACTTAAAAAATGTTTACTAAGTAACTTAACTGATTATTCCTAAATAAATTTCCAAAGTGAAAAAATGAAGTAAATTTCACATAAGTTTACCGGTAGTACAATTAATCGACTGCTTATTTGGAGCAATACGGGAAAATTAATACAATTTATATATTATCAAGGTCCTCTCAGTTATCTCATCAGCATGTAGAGATGCACCTGAGTTCTCAAAGACTATGCCATCAGGATTCAAGTCCTGGCAGTTCCTATGCAGCAGGAAAGGCTTTTGGTGTGGGTCCAGACGGCAAACCATCTAAGAACCAGATTAAGTTTAGACACATAATCTCCAGATTATGGCTACTAGGTGAGGAATATTTTTGATGACAGCTAATCAAGACGACATTCTATAAAGGAGAGCGATATGCTTTGATCAGCAAAAGTACTCATGAGAATGAAATCATGTTGAGTTTGAAGCATGGAAGTATACATCATCACATATTTTTTAAAACCTAATATGAAACTCATAATTTGGAGGAACAAAATCAGAGATGCTTTTTCTAGTTAAACACAGTGAACTCTCATAGTCATTTTGCTATGTAAGTTTACAGTACTTTTCACCTGAGGAAGTACTAGATATAAATGTAGTATTTTTAGAGTCATACCACCTCTGCTTAACTTTCTGCAATTATGCCTTATTGAATTAAAATAATGAATGGGTTGTACAATAGGTGCTTTTAGCTACGCTTTATTTGGTATTCTCCCTCCAAGGATGTTCAAGGATCTATAAAACATCTGATTTATATATAATAACCACTTTAGTTAAAAAGCTTCCAAAAAGGTCTATAGCTCTAAGACTGAGTAATAAATCACAAGAGTTGCAGGTTGTAGTTCTAGTAACTTAACAAAAGGGTACAGAACATAGTGAGAGACTTCTAATATTTCAGCAAGAAATGTAACATGGAAGTTCTTAAAAATTGAGTTTCAACACTTTCATTTGATTGAATTAGATAATATAACAAATCACCATTTCTTAAAGTGTTTAGATGTATGTTTATTTTAAATTCCCATTTATTTATAAGTAAGCATTATCTAAAGCAGGTAAAACCACTGCGTTATACCAAATTCATAACATGAAGGACAATGTTAGCTTAAGAGCCAATAGTAATATTATGTTTTGTGAGATGGCTTTCTGGGAGACAGAAGGGGGAGGGTTTACTAGGGATAAGTATGATGACATACAAAACAGAATACATCAATAAAAACTTATTTTAAAAATTTTTTTAAAGCCAGCATTGATGACTTATCCTGAGTTGCTAGTATAAAATGAAAATACATGAAATACAAATATACTTGGGAAATCTGAACACAATTAACAATTTTATTGAAAATAAGATATTTTACTTAAGAAAAATGAGTAGTTTTGATAATAGCAATATATACAAGGTCTTTCCAAATTTGCTAATTGCTAATTCCCTAATATCTTGCCCTAAAATAGGTTAAAATGCTAATATTTTGTTGTGGGAAAAATCACTAACTCATTATGAGTGACATTTTTCCATAAGCATTTTAATTTTAAAAAATATTTATTATGTGCCAAACACTTCATTTAGAATGTAATTAGGCAAGTATTACAAAGACTGCGTACATATACACATATAAACATATGAATACACACTCCAAAACACACACTTGTGTACATGTATATATGTTTTACTTCAACAAACATCTAATTACACATTAACTTAGAAATATATTCCCCAAAAGGAAATGAGGAAATCTCTAACTGATGTTGCTTCATTTTTGTACTCCTTTTAGGCATGTATCACATCCTAATTTATATCATATTTATCTGTATACATGTCAACTACTAGATTGTAAATTTTTTGAAGACAAGGACTTTGTTTCCTTGTCTTTTTATCTCACACAGCACATAACACAATTAAGCATATGGTAAGTGCTTAATAAATAGTTGGTGAATTAAAGATGAAAACTTTAAATTGGCAACTCACTGCGGCTCGGTCCAGGAAGAACTGGTGAAACTCAAGGAAGATGCGCCGAGTTTCCTTGGAGTTGGTCTGTTTGTACAAGTCTGAATAAAGATAACAGAGCTGTAACAGAGGAAAAAAACAACAAAGAGAGAAAGTGAGAGGTCATCACGTATTCAATCTGTTCATTTCCTCAAAGAATAGTCATAAAACTTGATAAGTTATTTTAAGAAATATTATTACCAAGTTGCCACCACTCTGAAAGGAGCTTCATTGTGATTTTATTTATCTTTAGATTTGTCCTGCTATGTCAGGTGAACAGGAAGAATCTGAATTTCATGGGCAAGAATTCTTCCCCATTTCTCCATTTCCCACCTGACCCCCCTCCCACCTTTAACTCTTGTGTAAATGTGAACACTTGAATTTTAAGCTTTGAGTGCACTAAAGTTTACTTGTAAACAACAATAATATGTCAAACAATGATGTTTCACCAATGTTGCAGGGTCGAACTGTGAAACCACATGGTGTAAGAACACAGCTAGGTGAGCAGGGCGGGATCTCAGAAGTTCAATACTTTGGAAGCAGCTGCATTGTCCATTAATCTGTAAATAGGAATAGTTACATTGAGAGATTTATTATTGTGTGTGTGTGTTGTATTTTTTAACTGGGTAGAAGGAAGAGAAAATTCAAGACTGTTAAGAGTAATTATAAGAATTCATAAGCAAAATAAACTATAGGGTCTTTCTCTCTGGAGATCTGTCAACATTTCAGGGTAGACAGAATGGATCTTTGATGGTGAAGGAATGAACTAGATTAGATAGCTTGGCTTCAATAATGTAGGAAGTAAAAATGTGGCCCTTCTTCCTGTACTAAATAATAGCTATCCTACAAAGTGGACAGAGTGCTGGGCATGGGGTCAAGAAAACTCATCTTCCTGAGTTCAAATCTGGCCTCAGACACTTCCTAGCTGGGTGACCCTGGACAAGTCACTTAACCCTGTTTGACTCAGTTTCCTCATCTGTAAAATGAGCTGAAGAAAGAAATGGCAAACCACTCCACTATCTTTGCCAAGAAAACTCCAAACAGGGTCACAAAGAGTTGGACACAAATGAAAAATGACTGAACAACAAAGTTATTATAAGTCTTTTAACTCAGCAATGGATTTCTTTACCTTTTGGACAATCAGTCAATAACCACTTATTAAAGTGATGCAATGAAAAGAGCACTGGACCTAGAGTCAGGAAGACCTAAGTTCAAAGTCAGTCTCAGACTGTGTGACCCTAGCAAGTAATTTAACCTCTGTCTCTGACAATAACAGCACCTACTTCCAAGAGTTTTTGTTTTGTTGAAGGGGGTTTTGTTTTTGCTTTTTGAGGATAAAATGAGTGTTTTGTAAATTTTAAAGCATAAATGCTAGTGATGATGATGATGATGATGATGATGATGATGATGATGATGCACTAGTGATACAAAGACAGAAGTGAAACCGTCCCTGCCTTTGAAAGCTCACAAAGTAGGGAGATAACATATACCTATATAATTATATTTAAAATATATATTAAATAAATACAAGGTAACAGAAGGTGAAAGAAGGCACTAGTCACTAGGGAATTCATGAAAGGCCTCACATCTGTACTACGTTTTGAAGAAAACTAAGGATTCTAAGAGGTGGAGGTAAAGAGAGAAGGTATTCCTGGTATGAAAGACAGTCTGTGCAAAGGTACTGAGACAGGTGATGGAATGTCTTATATGAGAAACAACAAGAAACATAGTCTGGCTGTACCCTACAATGCACAAAGAGGGATGATATGGAATAAGACTGGAAAGGTAGGATAAAGCCAAGTTAAGAAGGATTATTTTTAATGGCAAAGTTTGTATTTGAGATAACAGGAAGACATTAGGAGAGTCCCAAATCACTTTGGCAGCTGTGCATGGAATAGATTGAAGAGGGAAACAGACCAATCAGCAGGGTAACAGCAATGAGAGAGGTGTTGGAGACTTGAACTGGCAAAGTGGCCATTTGTGTAGAAAGAAAAGAATATATGCAAGAGATATTGTGGAGACAGAAACAGTAAGACAAGACAACTAACTAGGTACGTATGTGGATTAAGGGAGAATGAAGCAATGAGGACTATGATGAAGCTAATGACGTGGGCAAGTAGAAGAATGATGGTGCCCTCAATAGAAACGAGGAAGAAAGGTGGATTTGGGGGAAAAGATAATGAATTCTATTCAGGGCATGTTGAGTTTTAGATGCCAAATAAGGGTAACTTAGAGCAGAGATTACCAAAGTAGGGGCCACTCCTTGAACCATAAAGTATGAGCGATCAACCAGTTGGAGAATGGGAAGATGAGCTGTATCTCATCCTCCATTGACAACTGGTGGCTTGTCTCCAGCACATCTATCCTATTCTACCTCCAGTATTTACTCCAACTCCACCTCCTCCCACTACTAGCCAACTTTGGTAAGAACCTCTCAAATACTCTTTATAATTATACACAGGAAAAATTTCTTGTTCCTTACGCTCAGCCCCACATCCTGGACAATGGCCTATGAATAAGCCTCCACCAGCACATCTCATTTTTTGGTGAAAAAGACTGAGTGGTATAGGCTGAGCAGGCATGGAGGGGTTGCAATTACATTATTTTTCCCCAAAATCCCAATCTCTTGAGAACATCCCTATGTCAGTCAAGGATACCACTAAGCCTTTCAGTTTCTCAACTGCCTCCTTATCCTTGACTCCTCAATTCAGTTGAAACTGCTCTCTTCAAAGTTACCAGGAATCTAACTGCCACATTTGATGGCCTTTTTTTCTCAGCCTTCTTAACCTCTCTGTGGCATCTGACACTTGCTTATTCTCTCCTCTTTGTGTTGTGCCGACATTTCTTGGTTCTTTTCCAGTCTGAATACTCTTCACATCCCAAACTTTGGGTGTGCCCAAAGGCACTAATATGGCTCTCCTCTCTTCATTCTGCATACTCTCTCACTTAGAGACTTCATCAGCTCCCATTAGTTTAAATCATCTCAATGCAGATTACTCCCGGATATACACAAATACGTGTGTGTGTGTGCGCGTGCTCGTGTGCGTACTTGGTGTCACCCCTGATGCTTCCTCTCCCTCATCTCATACAGCTAATCAGTCGCTAAATTATGTTGTTTTTACCACCACAACATCTCTCATATCTGTCCCCTTCTCTTTATTCACATAGGCACCATACCAGCTTAGTCTTTCATTGCTTAAACTATTGCAATAGCTTCCTAACTAGTCTCCCTGCCTCAAATCTCTCTGTTCTCCAATTCATCCTCCATGAAGCTGCCAAAGCGTTTTTCCAAAGCGCAGATCTGACAGTGTCACTCCCCTATATACTAAAACTTCAGTAGGTCTCTACTGATTCTTAGGTCAAATATTATTTCTCTTCATCTTATTCTTAATTTTTATTTCTGTGTAAGTTTCAAGATGTATTAATTACTAATACAGAACTATCCGAATGTAATTTATAAATAAGTAAATATATAGCCAATAAACAAAAATATTTTGGAAGAGTAAACTCAAAAAAAAATCTTTTTTTGTTTGGTTTTGTTTTTGTTTTTTGGCAGCTGGGGTTATGTGACTTGCCCAGAGTCACATAGCTAGTAAATGTCAAGTGTTTGGTCTGAGGCCAGATTTGAACTCAGGTCCTCCTGACGTCAGGGCCGGTGCTCTATCCTCAAAAAAATATCTTGCTAAGGGGTATGTGATCAAAAAAGTTTGGAGACTATTAGCTTAGAAAATGGAGAGTGAACATATGTGTTTTTATTAAACTATCACTAAGTTTCTTTGCTATTCATTGTATGAATCACATAATTAAGATAATACCATCATTATAATTATCCTATATCAACTCAAATTTTGGGAGATTTAGGTGTAAGGAAAGAGGCAACAAGAGGGTAGGCAAGATAAGGACAAGCTTGAGCTTACTTTTTTTTTTTAAAGACTTTTCAAAAGAAAAAAATTCTAATGGATAATTACCGAATGTATTCAGAGCCTCAAAGTCATATAAGCTTTAACATCAGAGCTAAACATCAGAGAAGTTTAAGGATAAAAACAGCAATTCACCCAAGAGACTGTCAACTTGAAAATTTAGCATCAAATCCTGGAAACTGCTGTTTCACGGCCCCAGACTGGTGTTAGTTTTTGTTAACAAACTGGGCAATATCTTAAAAACTGATAGTTCCTGCTTTAGGAAAAACATCACCTGTTCATGTTCAGTGCCAAAGTCATCATCCTCTGCTCCAATGATCTGAGGTGCTGTGCGAATTAAGGGACTCCCAATGTTTGATTGAGTGTCCTGGGAAAGAATAATATATAAAGAACCAGTTGTTAATATTTCAGTCAGTAAGCATTTATTAACAGACTCCTCAGTGCCAGGCGCTATGCTAAGTGCTGGAGATAAAGAGAAAGGCAAAAAATAGTCCCTGCTCTCAAAGAGCTCATAATCTAATGGTGGAGACAAAATGAAAAAACTATGTACAGACAAGATACATACAGAATTAAATGAAGATAATCAGTAGAGAGAAGGCACTAGAATTAAGGGAGAACCTGGAAAGAGAAGTAAAGTCACTCTCAGGCCTAAAAGACTTGGCTTAGGTAACCTCAAATAGAAGCCCTCAAATATTTCAAAACATGGATCACTTCGCCAGGGAGAAAATCAACTAGAAGACTGACCTAACCCTCTTCCGTTTGCCAGAGAATCCTCCAGAAGCCTTCTTTGGAGACAGAGCCCTATATTTTACTACACTCTTGGCTACTAAATCTTTGTTATTTCACACTATAGGACAAGGGAACACAGAGGAAGAAGAATGGGAGGAAGGAGCAGGGCCAGGAATGGGGAAGAGAAAGGAGGAAAATACATTTTTATTGTGCTCCTATTATTTTCAAGGCATTGTACTCAGCATTGGACCACACTATCAGATGAAACCTAAGATTTTGTACTCTTATAATCCATTCACTGTGCCTTCAGGTAGCTTTCCTCACATCAGTGTGATTGAATTCATTATGGCAGTCATAGTACTTAAAACTGAAGAGATGACAGTCCTAATCTCCCACAAAATGGTTGAGAAAATAGGTCCTAAGAGCTTAAGGAGCTTTCTCAAGTCCACAGATCTTGTTAGTAACAAGAGCTGAGTCTCAGTTATCCTGATCCCAAGTTCCATCATCTTTCCACTATACCAAGCTGTCTCCTTTGATATATGGTAGTTAAAAGTATGTGGAAATCATACTCTAATTCTTTCAAATGTTCTAAACCTGCAAGTCTTAATCAATCAAGTGGCTAATTAATGCTCTTTTCTCTTCTTTTTTATCCCATTTTGGTTAAGAAACTTTATCCAAACACCAAATTTTACCTTTGCATTTTAGATTAACCCAAGAATCCTACCATACTTTAATACTGTTTTAAAGTAATCAGAGGTGGCTTAAATAAAATAATTGTCATTACGGTTCATTGGGTACCTACATGTTTTTTTTTTCCTTTTGTAGATCTCTCATTTTAGGGGTATGGCCTGTATAGTGAGGGGTCTAATATTCAGGGCAACAGATAACTTGGAAGGAGGAAGAATAAGTAAGATTCTCAGCTAAAGTTGTTGCTATTTGAGCATTTGAAAATTTCGCCAGTATTTACTTAATTGTATATCCACTTCAGCTGACAAAGTGTCAACACATGAACTACAGAAACTAGGTCTCCTATCATCATTTGCCTCATTAATTGACTCACTGAAGTTCTAGTATTGGTAAATGATCCATTCTATGGTAACCCATTCATTTGAGGCTAATTCAATATCAGCAAATCATTTAACAGAGACCACCAAAATATTTTTTAGCAATTACTAACCAAGCTAAGATAAATAAGTATCCTTGTGTCCTGACATGTTTAATACCACTTGGAATCCTTTTTAAACAACTTCCCAACTCCCTTAGGTTCTTCTGCTCTCTGATGGGAGGGCTGGAGGGTAGAGTACTAAACTCCTTCCAAAGCTTTCCTTTACAGAAGGCTGGGATCTGAACTTTCCAGGTAATTCTCCACTTTCTATCAGCAGCTCTCTTAGGTTTGAAATGCACAGAACAGCATACCCCTCTTCCCCAGATATACACAGAGAGGCTGCACTCTGCCCCCTTTTTAGTTTCCTTTTGAGTATTGTCTTTCCTTATTATATTATAAACTCCTTGAGGGTAGGGACTACCCTTCTTTTGGTTTGTTACTCTCAGCACTTAGCATAGTACCTGTCACATAGTGAGTGCTTAATAAATGTGTGTTGTGTTGAACTGTATTTTAAATGGCAATTTCTAATATTCTTTTTTTTTTAAATTAAAAGTGAGTTGTGAATGAATCTGATTGATATATATTGTGATTTATTATGACAATCATACCTCTTTTCTATGGAAGATAAGCATAATTCATTTCCCACCTTGGGTCTGAAATCAACTCTTAGATGTAGACTCTAATGGAAATTTCAATGCAGTAAAGAAAACATGGTTGACCTTGCATACCACACAGAGAAGACAAAAAGTGATAATGACCTCTTATCTTACCTATATGTAACACCATTAGTACACCTAAGCTTTGGCCGCTATTAAAAATAATAATTGGCTGTTTCAGGAAAAAAATGATAAATCTAGCTCAAGAAGGTCTTTAAAATTATAGTACACTCTAAACATATACGTAGCTAAAAAAATGGTTCTACTTAAGATGTCTGGATCTAGCTTCTTCTAGGTATTTTCTGAACCCTGCTAAAATTAAACAATATCATCCACCACAAAGTGCTACCACATAGCCAGTTTGTAAGCAATACTCCTCATAACACAACCCTGAGGCACTGGCTAGATGCAAAGAATGAATAATAGGAGCTGTTAAGTTTACCTAAGTGGGAAGAACAGTTTAAAGGAAGATTTTAATTATAAACTGGAAAATACTTTCTTTTTTTTTCTGGAGAACATTTTCAAACAATGTGACAGGAGAGGCAAAGAGTAGCAAAAATAATCCAAATCACCAAATAATTTAGAATTTTAGAATCTAAAAGATGGAAAGGGCTCAGATCATCTAACCTTCTCATTTTATAGGTCAAGAGGCTGAGGCTCAGAAAGGTTGAACTATTTATCTCAATGTTATATTAATTTTGTATTTGTATGACTTTTGTGGCATTAATTACAAACTTAGCACATTTAGATGAGCCTGCCTTCAGATATACTACTTGAGAAGGTATCTTGCATTCCTGGAATAAAAATACACTATATGGATAAGCATCCAATTCATTCAAACATTTACTGAGGAACTGTGTGGAAGGCACTTTTTAAAGGTGTTGTAAAGCATATGAAGATTAAAAAAAAATATAACCTCAACTTCCAAAGCATTGGCAAACTCAAAGGATAGATAACATATATAATTACAATAAGAAGCAGAATGGCAGAAATTCTGAGTGCCCTCTCCAAAGTTACTAATGATCTCTTAGTTGCTAAATCCAATGACCTTTTCTCAATCCTCATTTTCCTTGACTTCTCTGCAGCCTCTGACACTTCATTTCTCTCTCTCCTCTTTGATGCTCCCTTCTCTCTGGGACACCACGCTCCTTGTTTTCCTCCTACCTCTCTGACCACTCCTCTTTCTCCTTTGTTGGATCCTCCTCCAGAGCACACCCTCATGGTTCTCTCCTGGGCCCTTTTCCCTTCTCCCTCTACACTACTTCAATTGGTAATTTCATCAACTCCCATGTATCTAATTACCATTTCTATGCTGATGATCTAAAATCTGCCTTTCCAGCCTCAATCTCTCTCCTGACTTCTAATCTCATATCTCCAACCCCCTTTCAGTGGGAGTCCAGAGAAATTTTAAACTCCCCACATCCAAAACTGAACCTCTATCTTTCCTTAAAAAAGCTTAAAAACACCAAGGTCTCAGGGGCAGCTAGGTGGTGAAGTGGATGGAGCACTGGCCCTGCAGTCAGGAGGACCTAAGTTCAAATCCAGCCTCAGAACAAACACTTGACACTTACTACCTGTGTGACCCTGGGCAAGTCACTTAACCTCAACTACCTAAAAAAAAAAAAAAAGACCAAGGTCTCCCACTGCATCAAGGGCCATCTCCTGTTGTCCTAATCTATATCTTGCCACTGGATCCAAATGGTTCCTGAGGAGAAAGTGAGGCTGGTGATTTTGCACAGCCCTCCCTCACTTAAATCCAATTCACTTGCATGTCATGGCATCACCTCCCTGATATCATGGTCCTCATGGAGAACAAAGGACAAACAACAACAGAGGGCAACACCATCCCCCAGTCTCTCAACCAGGAGTCATCCTAGATTCCTCACTATCTTTCATCCCTTATATGCAAGTTGTTACCCTCCTGATGTCACCTTTGCAACATCTCTCAAGAATACCCCTTCTCTCTGACATTGCCACCACTTTGGTGCAGGCTCTCATCACCTCACACCTGGAGTACTGCAATAGCCTGTGAATGGGTCTGCCTGCCTCAAGATTCTCCCCACCTCAATGATTTTCCTAAAGAGCAGGTCTGATCATGTCATTTCTCCTATTCAATAACCTCTAGTGCCTCCCTACTGCCTGCACGAGCAAATACAAAATCCTCTGTTTAGCATTCAAAGCCCTTTCATAACCTAGCCTCCTCCCACCTTTCCAGTATTCTTACATCTTATTCATCAGCATATAATCTTTGATCCAGGGACCCTGGTCTCCAGGCTGTTCCATAAACAAGATACCCTGGTCTCTTTGCTCCAGTCATTCTTTCTGGCTGTCCTTCATGCCCGGAATACTGTCCCTTCTCTGCTCTGCTTACAGACCTCCAAGCTTCCTTTAAGTCCCAACTAAAATCCTATCTTTTACTGGAAGCCTTCCCTGATACCTCTTAATTTTAATCCCTTCCCTCTATTCATTATTTCCTATTTATCCTATGTAAGACTTGCTTTGTATTTGTTTGCATGTTGTCTCCCCTACTGTATTGTAAGCTCCTAGAGGGCAACAACTATCTTTTGCCAGCCGTCGCCTCCCCCCCCCCCCCCCGCTTTTTTTTTTTTGCATTCCCAGTGCTTAGAACAGTGCTTAGCACATAGTAGGCACTTACTAATTACCGATTTATTGATTGCTTCACTGGTACCCATGCAAAACAGAATAAAGTGATAAAGGCCTTACCACTCCCTGTGGTAAACTTACGAAGAACATGGATAAGAGTCACATAGGATGAACATTAATGACTGGGTTGTAACATATATTGCTGGAGGGAACTTCCAAATCAATGATATCACAGCTCCATCAGGGTATTTAAGTTACTATCAACATAAGGCA